AGTTTTTTTCACTGCTTATCCTATTTTGGCACAATCCCTGAATTGAACTTGAGTAGTTTTACTAAGGGCATCCATCTCACACGAAATTGAACTACAGTATGTCAAATATTCTACCTGCGTTCCTGATATAAATTACTATGAATTTGATATGGTAATTAATACTGAGACACTAATTTGGGCAAAGAGCACTAATGACTTTTTTAAGACTTGAAGCTAAAAGTTGAGGACTTGCAACTCGACTTGGACTTGCCTGTCTTGACTCGGGACTTGACTCGAGACTTGAATGTAAAGACTCGAGACTTACTTGTGACTTGCAAAACAATGACTTGGTCCCACCTCTGGTCATTCATACTGAGGCCTCCGCTCCTAGAGCTCGGCTAGGCAGTAGTGTAGTATGTTAATTTGTAGGCTCTCTGGGATCATCCTTGGCTACTGACCTTAGTGTGGAGTGTAACTAGCCCGCCTCTCATTAAAGATCTCATGTAGAGCTCTGTGCGGGACTATTTTTAGTCCCGCTCCCGCAAAGGTTATATTCCGCACCCACCCACTCCCACTATATATTCACTCTTTGTTCACCCGCTGTCCGCTTAGAATAATTTTCTTGCCGACCGTTCCCGATAAATTTAGATCTCATTTCCAGAATATCACATTTAAATTTCCACTACTGAAAGAAAGAGAGATAGATTAACAAATAAAATTGTAGTCTGCACAAAATTGTATGTTATTTTATTCATCTTGTCAAGAGTCTTGAATTTATTGACTTTGACTTGAATTTATATGAATTATCTTAAGACACAAAATTTGTTTAATATTTTATGCAACACAGGAGGAAAAAGTGTCAGAGAAAATAAAAATGGTGTACAAAAATTGTATTTCTTATTTTTATTCATCTTGTCAGGATACAATTTGTTTAACAATTACAAAACAATAGGAAAAAGTGTCGCAGAAAGAAACAAAATAAAAATCTAGGTTGTACAAAAATAGCCTATTAGCTATTTTTATTCGTCTTTATCAAAATACTAAATTCATTTGACATTTTTCTGTTAACACAGTAGGAAAAGTGTCGCAGAGAAAAATAAATAAATACGACATCTGCCATTTAAAATTATAGGCTAAGCAAAATATAAACAAAACCGAGTTGAACGTCCTTCAAGGACAGCGCATCCACACTTTGCTCCATCCTTATTCTGCTCTGTCACTCATCGACAACCTGCCTGTTCTGTCTGAGGGCCGTATTTTTACCACCGGTACAGTCTGCTCTGAGCATCATTATGCACATGCTGCGCACAGACCCCGCAAATAAAACACGTGACGCTGAAAGCATGCGTGCAGCGCGTGCTAACAGTCCGAGTGCAGGCTGTACTGGTGGTCAATAAGAATAAAGCACAGATATGCTGTTCTGAATGGATGTCGGGAATGGGATACTGTTAAAACGCCCGCTCCCATTCAAATTACACCAGAGTTACCGATCACTACCGCATTTTATTCTAAAAAAAAATTTGGTCGGGTCCCGCGGTCCCCGCAGGATTGCAGACCTCTAATCTCATGTATTTAGCCCTCCATTCTGCAGAGCTTCGCGGGCCAGTTAGCTCTGAGTGTTAGGCTCTCTGTGAGCCTCCTTGGACGCTGCCCTGAATAAGAACGTAGTTAGGCTTCCTCTCCCCTGCTGAGGCCTCCATTCTTGAGAAGATCCAGTCTATGATCGCATTGCTGGTGCAGGGGTAATGACCCCTTTGAGTCTTTGACTTAGCTCAGCCAATAAGGCACTCATCCCTTTCAGCATGGCGGTGTGGGTATAAAGTTCCCCATAGCGCCCTCTAGGGGAAGCAGTGCAAGTTCCCTTTCGAAAAGGAACGTTGCGTCCCTTTGCCATGCTTCAGGCATTTCTGCATACGTCTCCTTCAGACAAGAAGTGGATGATGTATTTCACATGTGCCCTTTTATACTCTTGGCCACACCAGTTGTGATGTCATAGGCTGCCGCCTGCCAATGTCAAGTTCATTGTCGTGTTTAGACTCATGCTTCAGACACCGTTATGCCAGAGGCATTCCCCATAGTGCCCTCTAGAGGACACAGAGTCTCGTTCCCTATTCTCAGGGAACCATGGTTACATGCGTAACATGAGACGTTTTCATTTCAAATAGTAGAGTACAGTCTAAAACCTCTATGCCTTGTTAGATGACCTTGGTGCCTATTTCTCGAAGAAAAGCCTGTGTGGATCACAATGCACTTTTTCATGTTCACAGCACTGCTATTTCATGAATGCTCAAGGGCGCATTGTTGATAGACTACCCATAAGCATAGAAACCCAAACCATCCTTGGCTGAATCAATCTATAGACTGTCTAGCCCATCTCTGGTGGTTCTTTATCTGTTAACGTCACACTTTTGTTGTCTTTCCAAATGAGTTCCGTCCTAACTGACCGTGTACATATATATGGGCTCAGCTGAGTGGAGCTGAAGCATAAAAACTAGGTGAGCCTGCCCAGGGGCCTTCTGAGTACGGAGCAACGCTGGCCTGCATTCAGCTTTAGCCAGCCAGCCATCTCACATCTGCCCTTGCCCCCTTTTCTTGGCTGAGCAGATGTGACCAACCTCCCAAGGGCTGTGTTGAGTTTTACTTCCTCAGCTCCTGTCCACATCCTTTCCAAAATGGACTTTATATTGTGACAAAACCAAACTTTGGGTGCAACGGGTCAAACTTCTATGTGCATATCTAGAAAATGGTTTATTTTTAAAATTGCTGCCTTATTATTATTTATTTAGCCAGGTATAAATATTACAACGTTTACAAAACTTTTGCATAATTTATGGACAGGTAAAATAGTTTTGCTCTGTTTATCTCCTCATAAAATTGAAAGGTTTATCTTCTCTTAAAATAAAATAAAACGGTGCATCCTAAAGCATAAAAACAATGGTCCTCATTTACTAACCATGGGTAAAACCAATGTGTCTTCATACAGAAAACACAATTTATCAATAAGGTAACACATCTGTTCTATTTTTAGGATAATACTTACAACTCAAATAATAATCAAAAAATATTTAATAAATATTGTAGGGTTAATTTTTTATTTATACTACTATTATTATTAGAATTATTATTATTATTGCATAAACAAGCACAAGTCTTTGCACAAGTCAGCCTTTGCACAAGTCAGATTATTATTAATATTATTATTATAAATTATATAAGCAATTGTAAAATAAGTCTTACTATTTACAAAACAAACATATATCTGTGCATAGTATGCAACTTTTATGTGCTTTTTAGTGAATGAGATCCAATATATTATGATCTAAACCAGCAAATTAAATCTTTTAAATTAATATATTTATACAGCTTACCTTTGCTGATGTCTTGATACTCCAACCACAGCTGGCGTTGGACTTGCTTGTTGGCATACCATATGGTACAGGATTCCTCAAAGCCATACACTGCCTCCTGGATAAAATGGTTGCCAAACTCTTTTAAAATGGACACAAAGTCGCTGCGCAGGGTGGCCCCATCCAGTGAATGAATTGCTGAACTGAAGGCTGAAGAACAAAGGTAAAGGACGGAGTTATTTAGATGTGTGAGAGGTTTTAGAGTATCGCATCAAATTTAAACTTCAATTTCATCTCAATTAAAAGCAGAAGCTAACAAAACATTGTACATTTAATAAAAACATTTCATGTGGGTACATGATCAGAGGAATGGTACCATATTTCAAAACAACATTTTTATAACTCGCACAAACAGGAAAATAATAATAATAAAAATACATTTTGCATTATTCCACTTTCTTCATGCATGGGTTTGCAAATTGACCTCCAGTGAGTAGATGCAGAAACGGCATGGGGAAAAAGTGGTAAAAATCTGAATTGAAAATGTAAAAACTCAATTTTTAAGTCATATGGAAAATTAATCATTTAATGGTAATGGGTTGAGAAGAGAGGGAACTGGTCTGAGCAATATGAGAGCAAGAAAATCTAATTTTAAAGGTCATTCAGGCCTTTAATAGAAAGTATTTCTTATAGAACTGCACTTGGTATCTAAGATCTGCTCATTGAATATACAGCGTTCATTAAACAAATTAAATGAATGTGCTCACAGTCCAAATACGTGGGCAAAAATAAAATAAATAAAGTGACAACATGATGTTCTACCTCTTTAAAAGTTGTCTTTTGTCTTCCTTGAAGATGAAGTGTGTCATTTTTGCACCACTATAGTGTCATTTGGAAAAAAAAAAAACGGTAGTTGCCCAAACAGCTAGCCCTGTCCCCATATTCACACCATTGGCTGAGTCAATGTCACTGTGTCAGGATGCTTATTAAACAAAGTAATGTTTTGATAGCACCGCTGTGTTTACAAAGAAATCAACCGACAGTTGGCTTAGTTATAGCTGTCTCTGAATATTAAGCTGGGATAGTACAAAAAGGTATAAACTTCACCTTTAAATCCCCCAGTTTTAAACACTCGCCATCTGAGATCAACAAAGAACTGAGAACTGCCTCCTTCACATCAGGCAGCCATATTTGTTGGTATTAAGTTTTTGCTTCACTACCCACCCAGCACAACTGACTGTCACAGTGTGGGCTCCTCAGTGAGCTCATTCCAGTCACTCAGATCAAATAAGGTACTGCTAGCCTGAAACATCTTCTTCCTAACCATCGTATATGCTGTACTCTTGCTGATACATATTTGTTGTAAATACTTGATCAATACATACATCCATGTAAACGGAAGAAAAGTGAGAGTGTTTTACCTTGGGAGAGGGTCCACTGATTGAGCTTTACATGGTACATAATGGACCGCAGCTTCCAGTGCTGAACCAATGGGTAACCAGTGACCTCACTGTAGTTTACCATACCTAAAATAAACAGAGGATCAGAAAATTTCACAATTAATTACAAAGAAATAGCAAGTAACAGAATTAAGCATGAAAATGTAAGTAGAAAGACTGAAATAGTATTTTCTTGTAAAATGTACTCCAGTAAAATTGTGTTTTATTTAAAGGGGTCATATGATGCGATTTCAATTTTTCCTTTCTCTTTGGAGTGATACAAGCTCTTGGTGCATAAAGAAGATCTGTAAAGTTGCAAAGACTAAAGTCTCAAATCCAAAGAGATATTCTTTATAAAAGTTAAGAGTCAGCCACACATACCTAAAACGGCTCGTTCTAACACACCCCCACATATCTACCTCACTATGTGGGAATATTTGCATAACACCGCCCAAATGTTCACGCAATGAAAGAAGGCGTAACTTTTATTCTCACTGTAGTATTGTTGCCGCTGACGCCATTTCGTGAGGACGCTGTGTGCTTTGTTGTGAAAGCGAAACTACTTTGTTTGGCCTTCCAAAAGAGGAAGATATCCGCTTCGTCATGCCTGGAGCTGATCCGTGCTGGTAACTGAGGAAATACATCAACATCGCGCTGTGCATCGCCGGATCGGCTTTCACCGTGGAAGAAGCGGAGTCCAGCCCGGGGTCGTCAAATGTGGTTGCCACTCCTTCGTCGTTCTCGACCCCGCCGCCTCTGCTCACTCTAGCCCGGCCGCAGCTCACGCTAGGCCGCCGTGTTTTTCGTTGTGAAAGCGAAACTACTTTGTTTGGCCTTCCAAAAATGGACGATATCCGCTTCGTGTGAGGGGCGTAACATTTCCGTCACACGCTTGAGGTATTCGGCCAATCATAACGCACTGGATAGCTGGCTAATCAGAGCACACCTCGCTTTTCAGACCGATTAGTTTTGTAAAAATCGACGCGTTTCAAAAAGGCGGGGCATAGAGGAGAAACAATAATGTACAGTATGTGGAAAATAATGTGTTTTTTAACTTTAAACCGCATAAACACATTTCATTACACCAAATACACAAAATAATGTTCTTTTTAGCAGCATCATATGACCCCTTTAAACTATTCATCAATATTTTTGGCCCATTTTCCTGGAAGAGAAAGATTGTACATTTTATATTACTTCATTACTTTACTTTTTTCTGTACTTTTAAGAGCGTGTTAGCATATAGATAATCTCAAAGGTAATGCACGTGGACTATAAGCCACCAAACTTTAATTATGATTACACTGGGTCTTTAAAAATAAATGTAAGTTAATGAAACTAACGGGTTCTGCTTTGTGCTGTGTTGACAGTTGATGCAGAGTAAATGTGGATCTCTTAATACACTGACAATCCCAGTATGAAATGATTTTTGGAATAGTGTTTGCTAATCCTAACCTTGCTCAATTGGGTGCATTCTCTGCTCTTCATGAGCGCATGACTGCATCGCTGCAAAATGCACCCTGATCTACTGTTGCTCCAAAATCACAGTATTAGGATTACACAAAATGAAATGAGACACAAAAACAGTTTTTTCTGTCAATTCCAAAATGAGTCCTGAAAATGAATGCATTGACTTGAAACTAAAACAATAATACAGGATTTCTGATACGTTTCTACACATTGAGAATAAATCACACAAATGAAATTTGTTGTGTAAGAAGATAACAGTGTTTCTTAGAAAATTCTTACCATAGAGGATTATTATTAATAGAAGACACAGAGTAGCTCAGCAGATTTGTGTGAATGAAATCCATTGCGGCATTTTTCATTTATCATTCCAACTCTCTTTAACATATGAGCTATCGCTTTTTTTTTTAACCTACGGTTACCCTGTGAGCTAAAATCTCACATATCGCCATATGTTGAGCGGGCTGTGTAATCAATCATCTCGTCTCCTACAGCAACTGTCAGCCATGCCTTGCCATCTAGGGAATACACAGCCATGTTTCAATTTAACCCCACCTTAATATATGGCACATCTGGTTGATCGCACAAATTCAAAGCATATCCGGTCTGCAACATGCTGGTTGGGCATTAGTGCATATTGCTTTCTAAACTTGATCTGACACTTCTTTAAAAATAAAGCCATTCTGTTCTGTCTGTAAAAAATTAATTCCTCTTGATATTATCATGGATTTGCTTCGCTGAATCACTTTAGACCAACGCTAACATACCAATGATTGATTTGCAGAAATAATGAATTCATAATATCTGTAAGCTGTTGATAGGAGGAATCCCATTATAAACAGAGCACAGGTGCTATAGACAAAAGCACTACATCATCAGCTCAAAGCATTTTGTCTTAATGAGCGGGACATTCTCAGACTCTTAATGAGAAAGACAGACACTGAGTATGTTTACAAGTACATGCTGATACGCTCAATAACCAGACAATGTGTAAGGTCATATAAACATCTTAAACTGTTCTTTTATCAAAGACTTACATGGTTAAAGCAAAACCCAATTGGCACACGTTTTTGCCTTTTTTCATGAGTCAGGCAAAAAAAAAAGTTCTCATACTAATCTATTAGCATTATGCTAATATGTATACTAGCCTAATGTCTTAATCAATATTTTCATTTTTATTCCATATCAATTTTTTTCCCAGCAAGGATGCATTAATTTGATCAAAAGTGGAAAAAGGAACAATAATGACTTTTACATTGTTACAAAAAAAATACTAATAATAATAATAAATGATAAAAAAAAATCCCGAAAACAGTGAAAAGTTTGGAATAATTTACATTTTTAATGTTTTTAAAGAAGTCTCTTATGCTCACCAAGGCTGCATTTATTTGACCAAAAATACAGTAAAACCAGTAATATTGTGAAATATTATTACAACTCAAAATAACTGTTTTCTATTGTAATACTGTATATATTAAAATCTAATTTATTCCTGTGATGACAAAGATCATTCCTGATCATTCAGAAATCATTCCAATATGCTGATTTGATGCTCAAGGAACATTTCTTATTATTGTCAATGTTTAAAACAGTTGTGCCGATTTTTGTGGAAACTGTAATGCCCTGCCATTCAAAATTTTGGGGTAAGATAAAAAAAAATAAATAAATAAATAAATTATATATATATATATATATAT